CGATTGGAATAATTTCCTCTGTTGATTACATCTTGTCAGTGAAGACATATGTTGGAGTTTTATTTGTGAGAAGATGTTTAACAGTTGATTCTCTTTTTTAATAATAATAAGATTATTTATAGGAAACATTTTTTCTCATTTTTTTCTAGTTATTTAAACTTGTAAATATTTTAAACTGGTAACCATATTTTCTATGTAGTATTCACCCCATCTTCATATTATTTGTAACTTTCTTTATTTTCTTCTTGATTTTTTCTAAGTGTAGGTTTTCAAATTGTTTTTATTCTTTTACAAAACCAACATTTGGCTTTGTTGTTCATCTATGTTCTAAATATTATTTTTAACTTATTAATTTCTACCTTTACAGTTTTTATTTCCTTCCTTATGGTTTCTTTGACCTTTTTCTGATGTAATTTTAATAACATCTTATAGTAGATGCTTAGGTATTAAATATGAATTTTATTTTTTAAAATAAGCATTTAGGGCTATGATTTTCTCTTCTAAGCACTGCTTAATGTCTTTTAACAACTGTATTACATTATACGTTATTTACACTAGTTTTCAGTCTGTGGTACTATTTGTTTCCATTATGACTTTGTCATTGTTCAGTGAGTTATTTTAAAATGTGTTCCTTAATTTTCAATTTATTTATTTATTTATTTATTTATTTTGGTCTTTTTCCTTTTTATCGGTACCAGGGATCAAACTCATGACTGCCTGCTTACAAGGCAGGTGCTTATGCCGCTGAACTAAATCCCCAGCCCCAGTATGATCAATATTCTTATAGTCAAAAACTTAATCTGAAATTTCTCATTTTCTCAATGTAACATATCCAAAATTTTTATTAGTGAGTGCTACTAGTGAACACTACCATATTTATCATCTGAAATTGTTATAAATTTGCCATATTTGGAAAAGCATATAACTCTTGATTGTTATCTTTTCCTGGGGATCAAACTTACAACCTCATGCTTGCCAGGCGGGCACTTAGGCCACGGAGCTAAATCCTTGGCTCTGAGTGTTATCTTTTAACATATTGAAGATGTAACTGAGTTGATTCTTCACTTTCATTGTGCTTGCCAAACTAGGTATGTGTTTATTTTGAAGGCAAAGTATCTGTGGTTTTGGTTGTTTGTGTATTTTTTTCCTTTTGGTGTTCTGCAGTTTTCTTTCAGTATTTCTCTTATCCATCCTTTTATTCACTCTTTCCCACAGCCTCTCATTCTTTGATTCTTCTTTTGTAACTCTTCGTATTTTCCAGTTTAAAACTTTTCTTTTGTGGCCAGACTTTTGCTGTTTTCATTGCTATCTTTACTTTAATTATTGTGTGTTTATTTCTAGAATATGTGGTATGCAGTTCTTCAAATCTGCAATGTCACTTTTTATGATATTTTGTTCCTAGCATATATTTTCAAGTTAACTCTGTGCATCACATTTAATATATTTTTTCCTTTATTTCATTGAATTTGGTGAAAATAGCTTTAAAATATGTTTATCATTCTAATATGTGACAACATAAATATGAATCTAACTTTTTGTTCTTTTTGCTGGTACATGAGACACAAATCTCAGGTAGATTAACAAGTAATGGAATTTCTTAAATTACACCTGTGTTCTGCTTATCTATGTAAATGAGAAGGAGATGAATTGTGTGTTGGTAAAAGTGCCTGCAAGTTCAGTCCATTAACATCATGAAGTATATTCCACGCATACAGTCTTCTGCAGATATAAGTGACTCGCTAATCTGGGAACCTATAAATGTATTATGTTACATGGCAGAAAGGACATTTGAAGCAAGAATAGTTTAGAATCTTGAGGTGGAGAGAGTATTTTGGACCAGTTAGATGGGCCCAATGTAAACACACAACTTCTGAAGACTCCTGTAATATAACTTCTCATATAGCAAAAGATAAAGGTGGAGGAAAGAAATGGAATATTACACTGCTAGGTGTGGGGAGGGAAGGGATGTTAGCCAGGAAATCTGGGCAGCATAGACACTGACAAAAGAAAACCTAGAAAAGCTGGTTCTGTGGTGCCTCCTGAAGGAACACAGGTTTGCTGATGTGTTCAGCATAGCTCTGGAAAACCATTTAGGTTTTTTTGAGCTTAAAGACTCTGAAATTAAAAAATTGTGTTCTTTTATGCTGCTGTGTATGTGAAACTTTGTTAAAGAATCAGTAAGAAAAGAATATAGTATTGGGTTGATTCCTCGCTTCCCAGCTTGTATCTATTATTCATTTTAACCCACAAGGATCTAGTTTAGATTTCTCACCTTAGTGTTAATGAAAAAAATTATTTTAGTCTGTTAGATTCATGATAAAATGTTACAGCAGAATTTGAAAAATAAGTTAGATTTTAAGTTCTCCACCTTCAGTTATCCAGGAAACTGATCTAATGGCCCTGCCAGGAAGTTTCCTCCACAGTCGATGCAGGTGACTAGGGAACACAATGCGACTGGCCTTGCTTAGCGACAGTTCATTCTTCGTGAGGCCTCCGTCTCTGCCTGTATGATCACTTTGCTCCCATGCCCAGTACCCTAATTCTGGGGTGACCAATGGCACAGGCTGGATAACATGTTAGCCATATCTTTCTTGTCTACTTGGACCTTCAACTTAGTATCAAAAAACAATGACAGCAAATTAAGTTGTAGATTTACCCGGATTTTATTCATAATTCATGAGTTGGCATAGTCTCTATTCTTGAGAGTTCCCACCAGACACTAGCAGCAAGATTTGTGAGATGTGAACAAGGAAAACAACTCATAGATGAAAAACAAGATTGATTAACATCAGGTTGCTTCAGTATACTCGTTTTGGTAAGGAATAAAGCAGAGGGAGTTTTCTTATGAATCTAATTCGTGTAGAAATGAATCTCTTGTTTTTAGGAAAAGTTAATCTATATGGGAATTTATCGGCTACCTTAAAGTTTCAATTTGATTAGTAATTTCTTGCATGAGTTATTGCATTTTGGTTTGATCCAGCTGTTGGAGCCTATTTCAGGAACTTAGTCCATATGAGTCTCCTACAACTCTTGTTTAACAGTGCAATGCATTCTGGTGAGCATTACTATGTACCCACTGCCATCTATCCACACCTTTCCTCCAGACCTCCTGTCTCCCCAGGCATTCTGACCCTTTTCTTAGTAGATTCTGCTGTGTCACTCTGTTGTTTGTAACTCATCTCATGCAATCTTCTTCTTCATAATGTGCACTGTCATATATGCCATGGAAAGTTCGCTGCTGGTTGAGGCTGCAAAACAGCTGCTATTCTTAGCTTGTATCAAACGAACACTGAGTAAGCCCTATGGTAAATCCTGAAAACAGACATGACTAGGAGGGCCACTTGTGAAACTGTGGTAGATGACAATCATGTCTGGGCTACCTAATCATGCAACTGTGTTCCTGCTCAGGCCTGACCTCACATGTACCATTTATACTTTACAAGGGTTATGGCTTGACCTGCCTAAATTTCCGCAAGTCCAGTAGAACCTAGGACAATGCAAGAAATTTGAGATCAATAGTCAGGGAGTGTCTTGTGCACAGAGTGCTAATTGCAACAGGGAGGAGTAGGCCCTTTTGAATGGGCATTCATTCAGATGAAGTCACAACCTGTTTCAGAGTCTTGGGATTTTTCAATTGTGGCCATGACTAGGCATTTTGTATCTTGGAAACTCAAACTATTGAATTCTGAATTTGATCTTCATCTTTTTTACTTCCTGTAGTTATAGGCAATAAAGCCTTTTTTAAAATTTGCAAAATGACCCTCTGCTTATCAAGCTGTTAATTTTTTATAAAGTTCACTGCTTTTCATTATCCTTATGTAGGGCGCCAATGTGAGTCAGTAACACTTAGCCAATTCTATTCTTGTATTTGCATTGCCCCTCCATACACAGACCATCCCCTTACTTTTAAAGTCTTTGATCATTTGAAGGTCAAAGTACAGGTCAATGTACATCCTTCTACCAGAATTTCCTTTCAAATTACATCAATAAAAGATTAAGGCAGACTACCATACCATACTTCAGAGAGACTGTGCCCCATATGTTACCTAGGATCAATTGCTCAGCACCAAATAATCAATGAGTGATTCAGTGCCCTAGCAGTATCATTCCATCTGGTTTCTTGAACCACTTCTTATATCAGGGTATGGGATCTATTCAGCCAGATAGATACAGCCTGTGCTTAGAAGACCTCTATGTTTACTTTAATGCTTTGCTGCTTTGTGAGCGGGAATTCTTATTAATCTTTAAATAAGATGATTCACACTTTCATCTTGTACCAGGCTTCACAAATTATGTAGCTGTTTATGACTAATATCAAATGTGTCAAATACATACTTCCTGAAGCAGAAGCTTAGGTTATTAGAAGTACAACAACTTTAAAAGAGAACAACCAAAAGAGGGAAAAGTATAAGGAAATTCTATATGCCTTCTTAAATGTTTTTAATTTTAAAACAGTCTAAAAATAAAATCTATTTTAAGAAGCACATACATAACATTCAAAAGAAATTTTGGTCAAAATAGTGATTAAATTAGAATATATTAAAATACCCAACAGAGTCCTTGGCATATAGAATAAGCTCAGTAATGGTATTTCTTTCTTTGTTTTTTTAAAGAAAGTCAGCAATCTTTTATTTAAACCAGTGGGCATTTTAATCTGACGTTACTACATTTAACCACACGTGAGCCACTCAGACATCTTCAACTCCAGATCCATGTTCCTTTAAGCAGAAAAACAGCTATCTTTGTATATCACAAGATAAAAATTGAAATAGAAAATTTATAGAGCTGAGATTTTGCTCCATATCCTGTGTTTTACAATCAATTCTTTAGTCTTGCACCCCAATTTAATAGTTACAAACACTTTCTATCACTGTAATCTGTATTACAATAGCATGATTCTTTGTTTTTGTTTTCTGTTCCGAGTCACACCATTGTCCAGGCTCCATTCCTCTTGCCTCAGTCTTGGGAGTGCCAGGCTCACAGGCACTATGCCTGGCGGTAATGTTCCTTCTTGTGTGGATCAAAACTTGTACTGAACAATGAGTTCTGGGTTGCAAAAGAGGATTTATTTTCTGCACCTGCCCATAAGTCTCAGTCCACAAGTTAGACAAAAACAGACACACAAGTGCCGGTATTTCCTTTTATTCATCCTTAAAGATTGATCTGCCATCTGGACAGTAATCTCTGTGCTTATTTAGCTTTCCTTCTTTTTCCTGTGTACTTTCTCCCACTTGGTTCATATTAATTCACCCCCGCACACATCTTTTTTGGGGGAGCTCTTCACTTTGGACTGCCTGTAGGCAATATGTTCTATGTTAGGAAAGCTGGATCACACCCCCCCCCCCCGTTTTTTATTTTCTAGGTTTTTCTTTTAAAGATACCCTGAAAAACCTATCTTTCGTTAAATCCTTGAATACCACTCATGTGTTTTAATAAAGTACTAAGAACTACATAGTTAAAGCAGCTCTAATTAGCTACATTATTTAGACCCTTGCCCAATTACTGAATATTGACTTTAGAAAGATGTTTTTCAATTTGAAGAATGATGATGATAATTCAGAGTTCTCTTGAATAATCATATCCTAAGTGACAGTATACTTATGTAGCAAAGACTTTTGGTCCGGAAATTGACAAGAGTGTACTAGTAGGTCTTACAGTGGGACTGCTTTCTCTTTGGGCTGTCAGCCTTCCTGTCTGTTGTTTTTAAGACAGCTCTGCAACCCAGCACCTTCCAGGTTCAGTCACGTTGCTTGAGTGCTTAAGGAAATCTTACAGCTCGCTCTGCCAGTTCACAGTGTTTCTTTCCCTAAATAGAATTTCCAAACTGCTCCTCTTGGACCTCTACATTTAGCTCCTTTACATACAGTGCTCTTTGAATGGTATCATATTACAACTCATGATGTTTAAAATTAGTAGTGCCAATGTAAACTTGTATTAATTGTGCTTCTGCAATAAGCATTGGATGCTAAAGTGAAAAAGAATGGGAAAATGCAGTGTATTTTGTTCTTTGTACCCAAATTGCTGAGTAGGACTCCTTGTCAGAAGCTCTGCTCATGGCTGTGACTGGGAACATCCATCAGTCCAGTCTGTTTCTACTTTCCATGGAAATTTCTGCTCATGGCTGTGACTGGGAACATCCATCAGTCCAGTCTGTTTCTACTTTCCATGGAAATTTAAAGTCTATAGAATTTTTCTACAACACAAGGGCTTCTCCTCTTCCTCTGCTCTCCTTTCTCCTCCTCTTCTTCCATTTCTTCTTCTCTCTCCTCCTTTTCTTCTCTCTTTTTCTCCTCCTCTTTCTCTCATATACAAAATAAACTTAACATGTGACAGGAATAGTAACTTCTTAGCAAATTGAAACTTCCCCAAAAGAATTTGCTGAACAAATTCTCATTTTCTGCCAAACTGTAATTCTTTCTCTCATGATGACTTTTAACAATCCAACTACCTAAACTTAGTTTAAATTAAAATTATATTTAAAACCTTAGAAAAATAGATGCACGTATTTTTGAGTTACAAAGAACAAAATGCACTATACTTTCCACAGTTTCTCACTTTACATCTAATGCTTATTACAGAAGCACAATTAATACAAGTTTAAATTGCATCTGCTGACCAATTTTAAACATCACGAGTTTTAGTATGATACATTTGATCGGAACCTCTCACCTGCCTGGAGCCTGGGGGAAATCTGTGGGAGAAGCAGCATAATTCCACAGGCCATTGCTGTTAATTTCTTTGCTCACCAACACTGCCAATGCAGCCCTCAGGACACAGATGCCCTTGAAATTTTAAATCTGTGTATAAAATTGTTCCATGTATTCACTTAACATTCACATTGGTGCTTAAGTTTGTGACAATAAATTAATTCACATTAAATGATTTGTTATATTTTAAGGCATTTCAAAGAGCTTGGAATGTTGTATTTTAAATAATACCTAGGTGTTTAGATATTAAACATATAATATAAATGTTTGGGTGCTTGTATCATGTTACATTTTAAAGCAATTCATTTTAATTTTTTATTTATTTTTTGTCTTTTTGAGACAGGATTGCTCTATGCAGTTCAGGCTGGCCTTGAGCTCACTTTGTAACCCAGGCTGGCCTCAAACTTGCAATGATCCTCTTGCCTCAGCTTCTCAAGTGCTGGGATTATACACATGTGCCACCATGTCAATTCATGTTAAAATAGCATATAAATTAATATTTCAATAACTATAAATGTTTACCCTATAAAACATAACCTATGTAATAACCATGAAATTGGATATTAAGAAAATGAAAACAACATTAGATATTCATTTCCTTAGAACAGACATGGTAGGAAGGGAATCTTGGGGAGTTTAACTTGGGCAGAATTCTAGAAATGAAAAGTTAATGCATACAAAACTTTACTCTTCCTTCCATAGTATCACAGTTGGAAAGGATTAAATACAAGATACACAGTTTATAGGATTATTATATAATATTCACCCAAAAAGTCAAATGCAAAAGAGTGCAGTCCACATATTAGGTATCCAAAAAATATAGTTGAGAGACTAGATTCCACAACAATGTCCTGCACAAGTCCAGCTGAAGAACTAGAGCCCATGGCAGTGTCTCCATGAGTACAGATGGAGGCCTAGAACCCACAGCAATGTCTCACACACATCTGTTTCAGGGATCTGTGCTGGGAAGGACCAAAGGCCAGTGGTGAAAGCTGGAAAGTCTGGGTCAGTGAGACGAAAGGTCTGTTCCAGCAAGCTGAGGGATCTGCATTGGAGCCAGGAAGCAACCCCCAAAGTAAGGACCAGAGCACTCCCTAGAAGAATTACAGCCATCCTCAGTGACACCGAGGTCCTGAGCTCCTCTAATGATGCAAACAGCAAGTTCATATCAGGAAAGCCAGTATGACAAGCTTCCTTATGAAAATCAATAGTGCACCATCTTGTTCTCTTAGTTCTCTTTTTCTGCTATTGGCAGCAATCCTCAGATGGGCCATCCATACCCAGAACTATGAAGTTCAACTGGGCATTATAAGTTGACCGTTAGTTAATATACCACCGTAGGCTGCACCCTAGGATGTAGAGGACCTCCCTAGGACAACTGATGATCCAGATGATATAAAAGGGAAATGAGGAAGGGTGGACTGACTTCTGCTCTTCCAAGGAGCTCCAGTCTTTGTCTTCAGCCCTGATTTTTTCTCCTTGGTTTCTAGCACAGACTCATTGGCTTCTGCCTTGCATCCCTTAGCTTTCCAGCATGGTCTCTTCAGTCTTCCATCACAGGCTTATCGGCCTCCTGATACAGACTTGCATGGCACACTGCACTGAGCTCCAGACCTTGGATTGAATTCTTCAGCTTTCTGTGTGCAGGCCCCTTCTGCATGCTTTGCCATCTGACTCTATGGCTGACCATCATAAATCACTCTTGTAATTTCTTACACATTTGTGTATCTTGTGTTATATCTATTTGTCTAGTATCACCCACACAATAAATGGGAATGTATTTGTAGTGCGATTGAAGAATGAGAACCATAGTTCAGAAAGATTTGAGTTTAAACTTCAACTGTTCCACTCTGTAACACAACTTACGCAAGTTATGCAACGTCATGTAAAGGGATAAAATACCATGTTTTTCATTAAGCAGGATTGAAAGTTAAATGGGATAATGAAAATAACTTTAATTTCAAATTATTAGTTAAGCATACATAAAAGGAATAACTAAAACCTTTTATATCAAAAACTTATTCTGATGGGTAGGTATTGGCTGCTTAGCATACCATATTGATAAAAATTCTGAGGCAGGATTGTCACAGTTGTTTGTTAGCATCTTCCATGAGTTCAGCCATAATAACCGGGTGCACCCGTGCTTTTTAAGTGCCATTACCAGCACAGATTTTTAGAGGGATATAGAAAAATACTCCATCACTAATACTCATATGTTTTAATAGCAATATTGCTTAGTACATGCCAGTATTTATTTACCAGTTTTCGTTTCCTTAGTCCATATTCACCAAATTATCTGCTCAGAAAACTAAAAGAATTGGTAAATGCCAAAGACTCCAAGACGTCTTGGCAACTTAATTAAATTAGCACAAGTCAACACTGGCTAGCATTCATGTCTAGCTATGTGTATAGTGGACATTTCTCTGATTTCTTCTACAGTTGAAATTTCTAATTCAAGTTTTCCTGGCCTTTGCATTATTTATGGCTGCTAAGATTCTACTATATCATTGTTTTGTATTTGAATATTTTTGTTTAATTGTAGCTTTCATTAGTTCATGATGTTAAAAGATCCCCAAGTGGTTATTTCAGCTTTCAAGGCATCATTTACTTCCTGCATATGCTCAAATCATAGCACATAATGTGGCGTGTAATATATAAACAGAATATATTTTCACATAAATAGATGGATAGGTTTCTTACTTAGTACAAGACAGTATTTTTTTGTTCTTATTTAATCTATTGCTTTAATTTAATAAACTACAAAATACATCAAAATAAGACGATCCATTTTTCTGACAAGGTAAATAAGGTATAATTTTATTTGAATCACTCTCTAATCCAGTCAGTATTGTAGTGAAAAAGAAAATGAAAGTCTCAAAATCTCAAAGAAGGGCTTGCTATTGTTTGAGTGAATGCAAAGGCTGTGGGAATCTGACATTTTGACCTATCTGGTCAGACATAAATGTCCTTATAATGATCCTTTGGAAAGTCACTTTAAATTCCCTTTTGGTTAGACTATATAATGAGAGTGGCACCAAGAGTTGCATAGTCTGTGTCACGTCCCCACTCCCCAGAGATGATCTTCTTTTGAAGCCTTCAGACACTTAAAAATAGATTCTTGAGTAGGAGTTCCATTACTCTAGCTCATGTTCTTTACCAAAGTCTGAAAGTTGCTGAGGTTAGATGTTTCACAGATCTTTTGTTGTTACTTGTACGTACTAAGTGGAAGAGCCTTTGCAGACGTGAGAGAAAACACTGCCCACTCGATGAGTAGGAAAACCAGATCTCCACCGCTGTGGATATTTACTTCCTTGAAACCTGTCATGATTCATTGTTCTATTTTCAGCAGTGAAATACTCGGGATATAACCAGGGATGACACAGCATATCTTCTCTATCTCCTCGTGTTTCTAATCATACTTGT